ATCCGAAGCCGAAGTGCACGATTCCGCGGGTCTGGATGCGTAATTCGGTGCGCAATTCAGCCTGCAAAGCTTTAGCGTGCATTTCGATGTGCGCTTCGATGCGTCATTCGATTCCGCTCCGAAACAAATGCCGTACGCGTTTCCTACAGGTCCGTTCTTCGATTGTGCTTCTCGTGATTCCCCTCCTCACTACGCGGAAATACTTTCCAGCTTCTTGCTCCTTCTGATCGATTCTTTTGCGTTCTTCGCCGTTTACGAGCCCGTATTCTTCCCGGCTGAACTAATATACGTGTTCGCTTCGTCGGGTCCGCGTTCATGTCGGATCAGGTGCCTGTTTCGAAACGGCTTCGGCTTGGGTCCCTTGCGGACGGATTCCGTAGTGGAAGAACACGCCCGCTCGCTGATTTGAGTGCGCCTCGTGTAACTGAGCAACAGCAGCCTGCCGCATCGCAGCGGCAAGCCGTACCAACGGTTCCAGCGGGGCCCGCAGAGGACGGCCGCCAGCAGACGGCGGCTACTGCAGATACACAGCTGGAGGGGCGTCATCAGGATGCAGACCCTTCTGCTGCAGAAGTACGAGAGAGATGGCGGCGTCAGAAAGCTGTGCAGCGTGCGGCAGCCCTTCCTGAGTTACGGCTGCTGCAGCGGCAGCAGGACGCTGCGCGGCATGCGGCTGCACGTGCTGACCCGGAGGTGAGGGCGCTCCAGCAGCAGCGGAATACGGCCCAGCATGCGGCTGCGCGGCAGGTGCAGCAGCAGAATCAGCAAGCCGCCCCTAGGGATACGCTGTTGGCTCGCATGCACCGTCTTCTACGATTCGCAGACCTTCATCATGGTGACGTGATTGAGTTGCCCGAGTTTCTTTTGGCGCTTCCAGAGGGCCGCGTGCAGGACCTTCCTGGCGGTCAGTTACCACCTGACAGGCAGGTACCGTACACCGTGCAGCTGCAGTGTGCATCGACCATGGCTGCTGCCTTGCGCCGGCGCATGCCCTCCCGTGTCTGTGCTGTGTGCTCTGAGGTGTGCTCGGAGGACCAGTCGACGGTGATGCACTGGACGGAGATTCCCAACGTTGACATTTTACGTGCCGACGTCATGTGTACGGATGCTGTGCAGCGCTGGGGGCGTACTCTGGTGTGGCGGCGGATGGCGCGTACAGCTCAGGGAGACGCACCGCCGCCACCTGATCCAGTCCTACCTGCTCGGTATCGTGTTAGCCGGGCTGAGCGAGCTGGTGCTGTGGATGAGGACGGCGGTAGTGCTAGTGGAGCAGGCAGGCTGGTGGATGATGCGGCGGACGGAGCACTGGACGTGGATGCTGGTGCTCAGGAGACTGGCGATCCGGATTTGACGACGGCTGGGCAGCAGCCCGAGCCCGAGCCCGAGCCCCAGCAGCTTCCACCGGATCAACAGCCGCGCCCACCGCGGGTGCTGCCCAGAGCCTGCCCGGACGACCCCGCTAGTGTGGAGGTGCCCTATTGCATGCGTCTGGAGCCGGACCTGCCCAACCGCACTATGCTGGTTGGCGATGGTGCTGCAGAGCACATATTCGTATGCAACATCTGCCACAAAGCCCTTAGCGGTGAGTCGTTTGCTCCGTGCTCGCAAGCCGGTTGCCTAGTGCCTATGAGCTGTGACTTCTGCCTGCGTTTCCTTGCTCCCTTCATCTGCGGCATGTACTTGTCTCTCCTACCTTTGCTGCCTACGTTCCTACTGCTTCCTTAGTCATATCGGCTCTGCTCGCCCATGTTTGCTCTTCTACTACAGCCCGCCGAGTCCCTGAAGCTGCGCTGGCGCGCCTGGACCCTGGCGATGTGCCGCGCGTCAACCATCTGGGTGACCCTCTGCCGTCGCCCACTTTTTTGGAGGGGCAGCTTCTGGGTCGTGGTCGTATCATTCAGCAGCTGCTTATCATGTACCTCGCAGACCGGCCGCCAGATGTCTTCCCCCGTGCCGTAAAGACTCACGGCATTGGGGTCGTCAATCCCGACCCGAATCTGCTGCGAGGGCAGCTGCCAGCGCGGGCATCCGACCTGGCCGGCGCTATCACGGTCGTGTGTGTCGACCAGGTTCGCAGCCGGGCGGAGCTGCTGGAACGCGTGCGAAAGGCACCAGGTCTACAGGTGCGAGGGCAGGTCATCGTCGCTTGGGTCCGTTTCTTACAGCACAACGACGAGGAGGAGCTGGCTATCGATGAGGACGCTCTGCAAGAGTACGAACGGATGGGCTGTGCTGCAGGCGTGCCGGACGAAATCTTGCATGCCGCCCTTGCGCCGACGGATCCAGAGGTGGCGAACGTTCTCCGCACCACCTTCCTGCACGACCGCACGGGTGCGGCAGGTGTGCGGCAGTTCCAAGACGTAGTGGAAGCGGCTGTTCGTGATGGCAATCTTGCCGATGCAGCTGCGGCACCTGACGCGGATACTGCAGGACCCGTGCAACCTACGCTGGCGGATCCGACCCCGACTGCAGGTTTGTTAATTTGTTACTGTGTTTCATGTTAGCTCTTGTGTACCCTCTGTTTTCGTGTTGCCCTCGTACTGCGCTTTCTGCACCGGACAGCCACTACCGCCGCTGCCCCGTGCATCAAAAAGGGCGGCCTGTTGTCATAACAAATCTT